CATATGTAACAAACCTGCACGTTGTGCACATGTACCCTAGAACTTAAAGTATAAAAAAAAAATTTTTTTTTTAAATAAGACCACAATATAAGTATTTTTATAATGGCTTTTTTTACTACTGTATTCATACAGTATTAACATCTCTCCAGGGATTCAGCCTGGACAGGCAAGGACAAATATAGGGTGACGATGGGAAGGTTAACTAAAGGATCATGAGGCTGCTGAAAGAGGATGAGACTCAGAGCATGTGGAAATTTAGGAGCAGAGGATGTTTTCTGTCCCTCTAGACTTTTACCCCAAGCCCCATAGAGGAGAGGGACTAGTATTTGAGTGAATGAGTGGAGATAACTGAGCCCTTGTGTCTGAGGATCTCCAACAACATGGACTGTTGAGCAGAGCAAGTTTCTGTTCCTGCTCAGGGACTCCCAGTCCCTGGAGGGTGGCAAGAGGGTGGCATGACAGGACTGAACAAAGCAAGATGGTGCTTCCACATTCACTTCTGCACTCAGCATATTCTATGACTTCCCTGCTAGGGGTGAGCAGGTACAAAAGTCAAGCAATCCTGGTGGCCAGTTGCCTGAAATTACCATAATCGAAATCTGGGGGGCATGTAGGAGCCTGTGGGGGAGCATGGGAAGGACCTGCTCCACCCACCCTAAACCAAGATGTATGCACATTAACCCCAGATTCCCACATGATGCTGCTGTGACCCTTCTGAGTCACTTTCTTTCACTCTGTGTCTTCCTCCTACATGGCTTTCTGCCCAACTCCCACTAGGGAGGCTTAACACAAAACCTCCTTTGATCTTTGGGGATGCTTTAGGCAAACACCTGTTAAGTGTTGGCTCAGTAGGCCTAGACCTTGCGCCTCCATGGCCTGGAGGCCTTGCAGGGACTGGGCCCCTATCCCTTAGGCACAGAATCATCATTCAGAGGACCGACACATCCATGCTTCTTCCTATCTGGGCTTTCTGCATCCTTTCAGAAGTGGAAACATTATGCTAAATGCTGGGGTCCTGTCTGAGGAAGAAAGTCCTGCCACCTCCTCCTTCTGATGATAGGATGATGGGTAATCCTGGATCTCCTTAGGAACCAGGGGCATCCCAACTGTCCCTCACAACATGTCATAAAGAAGTCATTTCACTTCTTGCCCTTTCTTTAGCTCTTGGCTCCTCTGTGGTAGGTTGGAAGCAGAATGCAAAAGTGCCACCCTCTGAGGGATATCAGGTGGCCAAAGAAGAGGTCCCTCCCAACTGTTCAGGGCAGCCTCTTTGTCTTTCTGCTTCCCAGTCCACTCCTCCCACTCATATAGACTCCCTGGTCCCTTACCTCACTGAGCACTAGGAAGCCACCCCTGCCCTGTTTCTCTATCTGCAGCCCCATGCTCTTGCTCAGGCTGCATGAATTTAGAGCTTTCTCTGTGATCTCTCCTGCTGGTGCAATGTTCCAAGAGCACCTGCTGCATAGATATCAGCAGTAGGCTTTGACCACCTTTCCCTGTCCACCTACACTCTCACACTGCCACCAACTGCTTGGGCCCTAATAGTAACTTTCAGAATCTCTCTCCACACCCAGCTTTCTGGCTTTTGTTCTCCATACCATTCCCCCTACCCATAGCCATAGTCCCTTCCTAGCTCCTCACTTGTCCCTCTTGGTCTGTGCCCACACTCCCTTATATGTGGAGGAATTATTTCCTCTTCTAATCCATTATATCCTCCATCACTAACTCTACTTCTCTCTACCACCAGAAAAATGTCTGTTTTTAGTAAAAGCCAGCTCCTTCACTTGGGTGCGTGCCCCTCACTTCTTCACTTCCACACAACAACGTTCTTCCAGAAATTCTCCCCTTGCTGTCTTGCTTATCCCTCTTGACTGGATCTTTTCTATCACCATCCAGCCATCCAACAGACTACATCTCCTGTCTTAAAAAAAAAAAAAAACTCATTCTGGATCCCATTCTCCCCTCCTGCACCTCTATGAAACAAAAGCCCTTGAAAGAGTTGATTTCGCTTGCTGTTACCAACTGTTCTTCTTCCATTATCTCTTGAATCCACTCCAGTCGTGTCCATTCCTCCATTACTCACCTGAGGCTATTCTCAGGGTCATTAGTGATCTCTATGTTGCTAAATCTAATGGTCAACTATAAGTCCTCATATTAATTGACTGATTGGCAACTTGTCATTCCATTGGTCACTTTCTCCTTGAAACACTTTTGTTTCTTGGCTTCCAGTATGCCGCTCTTCTAGCTTTCCTTCTGTCTTGCTGGCTGCTGTGTCTCAGTCTCCTCTGCCTACCGGTTCTTCCTCCTCTTCTCAATCTTTTAACATTAAAGAGTCCCAAAGACCAGTCCTTAGATCTCTTTCATTTAAGCAACATACATTCATCTCAAACAATACAAATGTGAACTCCTGACTCCCCTTCTCCCACCATCACCCAGTAACACCAAACCTACTCCAATGTCAGTATTTCCCACATCAATTAATGGCAACTTCATCCTGCCAGTTGTTCAGGGCAAAAACTTTGGTGCCATCCTTGACATTTTTTTTCTCTAATTGTCCATATCCAATCTATCAGTAAATCCTATTGTCTGCCTTCAAAATGAACCCAGCGTCTAAATGCCTGTAATCTCCTCTGCTGCTGTAATTACTGAAGTAACCTTAAAACTAAATCTCCCTGCTTCTACTCTAATCTATACCCCCAATGCTCTATTTTTAGCACCATGACCTAAGTGGTCCTTTTAAGATATAAATCAGATCTAAGCAGACCCCCTAATAGCTCCCCAATTTACTCAAAGTAAGAGCTAGCTTCCTTGCTGGCTTCCTACCAGGCCTTATACCATGTGGCCCCTTACCACTCTGGAGTCCTCCTCTACTACTTTCTCCCTTTATTCCTTTATTACTCTGCTTTAGGTTCACTGGCTTCCTTTTTCCTTCTGACAGACTGGGCAATCGCCAACCTCCAGGCATCTGCATTAGCTATAATTTCTGGCCGGAATGCTCTTCCTCATTTACCCACGTGACTTATTCTCTTATCACCTTCAAGTCCTTGCTGACATGTTAATTTCCTAGTGAGACCTACCCTGAGCTCCTTATTTAAAACTATACCCCCATTCAAGTCTTCTCTAATCCCATTACCCTGATTTTTTACATATATCTGGTCACCTTCTATATACTATGTTTTTAATTTATACTTCTTTTCTCTTCCTCCCAGGCATGCTCCCATCATAAGCTCCTTGAGAGAGCAGATTTTTTTCCCCTCTTATGTTCACTGCTGTATTCCCGGTGCCTATAAAAGTGCCTGGCATATAATAGGTGCTCAATATTTATTGAAGGAATGAAGAATGGGTGAATGAATGCCATTCATTCTCCAGCTTGGCAACCTCATTCTGATCCCTTAAACATTTTACTGTGTGTTTTTAAAAATTATTATACAGGGGTTTCTCCAGTGAGTCACTATTCTCTGACATGGCATGCTGTTGTTTGACACCATGCCTCTGTTCATGTTGTTCTCTCAGGCTGGGGAAGCCTCTCTACTCCCTACCTCCTTCCCAACTAATGCCTGCTCATCCTTTGGAACTCAACCTACATATCATCTCTTCTAGGAAACTTTCCATGAACATCCCCCAAAACTAGATTAAGTGCCCTCCTATGTACTTTCATCTTATTGCTTCTAATGACTTTTTATATGACTGTCTATCCCAGAGTTCATGAGCTTTATGAGACATGAGCTTTATTGTTCACTGTTGTCTCTGTAGTGCCTGGCACAGTGCCCGACACACAGCAAGTACTTGAATATTTGAATTATTGAATGCAAGACTCAGCCCAAAGTTGTTTTTATTTTGACCCTTTTAGGGATCTCTTCATCAACTAGTCTTCATTCTAGGCAGCATTCATTCCATGCAAATGAAAGGCAATGGAGGTTGGAACAGGCAACAGGACTAGAGTGGGCTCTCAGGTGGGTTACCCTTAAAGATCTCAATAACAACAGGGAAAAGACAGGGAGATTCTATCATCTGGTTTTGACATCTGTCATATTAGCTGTGTGCTTCTGCTAAACATTCCTAAAGGAAGGTGCACCATGGCACTCTAAAGGACCTTCCCTGCAGGTTGTGAGCATATACTGTATAGAAGTCATCAATGAATTTTGCCTGTGGGCCAAAAATGCATTAGATTCCTGGCCACTGTTTCTTATACTATCGTCATGTCCACATTGATCCTCTGAACCCAACACACCATGGGACAATAGAATTCAAGCCTGACCTTCACCTTCAATGCACCTAAAACAAGGGCCTTTCTTCTCTGTTCAAGTCCCTTTATCCACATTCTACGGTGGGACTGGGAGGAGTCATGTGGAATGCTGACCCATCTGAAATAAAATGTGATTTAAGCTTCTATACCACATAAGAAATACTTTTTAGGTCCTTTACTCTTTCTCTGACTATCATATACTACACTGAAAATGAGGAGGCACAAACAGGTGGCTCTTTGCTTAAAGGTACAAAGTATATTTGGAGAATGCCCTGCTTCACCTGCATGTTAATGGAAATGGCAATGAAAGCCTTTTTCAGGGGGATGCAGAGGTTCAGGAACCTATGAACTCCTTTTTCTTGTAATGGGTATTCTTGCATAAACCAGTGCCTTCTGCTGAGGTGAGTTGAGACCTGGGATAGATTTCCTGGTTGAGTGGCACAAGTCATTTGAGGACAGAGTTTGGAACATTTGTAGGAGTGGCACAGGACCCAGGATTGGCTGGACTGAAGGGAGTGTTGCTAGAGCAGATTATTTAGGCACTGGGGGGCATCAGAAAAGATCAGGCCTTCCTCCTCAGTAGAAGGAGGCTGAGCCTCAGGGTCCTCTGTTGTCTTCTCTGTTGTAGCTCCCCACACATGATATTTGGTGACAGTTGGACTCTTCTCAACGTTTTTTGTCCTGTCTTGGGTCACTGTCTCAGCCTTAGAAAGGAGAATGGATTCCTCATGCCTTCGATCTTTCATTTCAGGGTTAATCCAGTGCAGAAACAGCTTCATCTTGTTATCCAAGCCAACTTCTGGAGCTTCTGGAAGGATGATGCTCTTGTGAGTATGGACTCCCCTTACCAGACCCTGCAACTCTTATTCCTAGAAAGTGTGACCCTGCAAATTTTGACCCTGCAAATGTTGCCCTATAAAACATGGCCCTGAACCATTTGACCCTGAAAACTTTGAATCTGAAAAAAATTTACCCCTCCAAATACTGTACTTGCAAAATTTCGGCCCAGCAATTAATGGCCCAGTAAATTGGCCCTTTAAGCTCTGGGCACTCCAGGTTTGGCATTCTCAGAAATCCTTGTTTGGATGAGGTTATTCAGCTTACTCTAACAGCTTTGCAAATTATTCTTATCTGGTCTTTTGCCCCAAGTAATCCTGGAGGATGCTCTTGGAACTCAAGGTTAGGGAGAAGCTGGTGAAGGAGCAATAGCCAGTACTGAGAGGATGGAAATGGGACTCCGCAGATCCAGACAGATCCTTGCTAGTCCCTGCTCAAGGCAACCATCTTAGCTAGACTAAAGTTTTACCTGAGAAAGATCCTGGAGATATATTTGGCAAATTGTGAGCTCTGGAGTTCTGCTTAGATGTGCCCCGTTCGCCCCTGAACCTTGGCAGAAAGGGTGCTCTCTCTGGCTGGGGAGAGCTCCAATGCTGTCCAGATACCCCCTTCTCTGTGATTCCCAGCTGCTTTGAACATCATCGAATGTCACTGGGTTATCTGTTTTCTCTGCCGAAGTAGTGACTTGTCCTCACTTTTGCAAAGACCTGGTCTAAGAGGTTCAGGGCCCTCCAGGCTGGGTTGTTGACTCCAGCCTCTAGCTGAACAGAAAGTACCTGGGCCTCTGTCTTGCCCCCATTGGGTGTGAGATCCCAGAATCCCAGTAGGTATGGGGTACTGCTCAGGAACTTGATCACCTGTAGCTCTGCTGCACTGTCTTTGGTTCAACTGCAAGCTGTTCTTTCAGGCCAACCCATTCTGGATCTGGGGCACATGGGATGCCTGGTGGGATATGGAGTTTCTGGAGCAATGTTTTCCCTTGGTTTAGCAACCTTTAGACTCCTAAAGGATCCCTGAGTGGAGATTCTTTGGGATGGTCATAATTTGTTCCCTGAATTCCCTTGTCTTTATGGGACTTCCCAAATGTATCTCGAGGAATTTATTTTTCAGGTAAAAATTTAGTTTGGCCAAGATGGGTGCCTTGAGTGATTAGGGCCTGTGAGGATCTGTCTGCCTCTCTAGCAGTACCATCTCCATCAGCTTGTATTTTAGCCCAGAACACTTGTACATTATCTACACAAGCCTCATTGGTGTTTTGAAAGCATGGCCCAGGACTTACACATTGCTGTTTGGATGAGACTGAGTCAGAGGCTCTGATGGGCTCAATCTGTGATTGTGGATTCATGAGTGAGTGCCTGGGCCACAGCCCTGGAAAGAGCCACATAATAGAGAGCAGGCAGCCCTGACAGAAAGGCCAAAACTTGTCTCAAGTTTCTCAGTGGCTTCCTGGTACAGGGTCTGAGCAGCTCAGGATCATCAGTAACAGCATCTGGTAAGGCCTGTTGCTGCTGGTCAAGGGCTGTCAATATTCAGAGTGTCCCTTCCTGATCTGTGTAGGGGCTGATATGTGTCACTTCCAGGTCCAGGTGTTTGCTTTTCAGAGGACAGGGGCACCAAGTTGCTGCCCAGGCCCTTGGAATACTGCAAGGCGTATTCCAGTGACTTGTAGTCCCAACAATGGCAGATGTGGGCAGGGACAATGCCCTAGCAGATCTTCCCATATTTGTAATCTATGTGGCTCTGCAACATGACCTTGGCCTGAGGAAACAATTGCAGACTGGCCCTCCTGCTACAGTGGATTAGAGCAGGCCACTATTCCCACTGGCCTCTGGTGCTGCATGTTGGGAAGACCCACATAGGTCAGGGTTGTGCTGCTCCAGGGCAGGGATTATTGGTCATCAGGTCACAGGAGGAACTGGATAGACTGCTGGATCTTTTGGATCAGGTCCCAGCAATGGCAAATCAACCCTCTGTTTCAATTGCTCCTGGAGGTAGAATTCCAGTAGCCTCTGGGCATGGTCTAGGAGAATGCTACCTCCATCTTGAGGACTAAAATGGACTTCACCAATCAAAGAGGGTCCTGGATCTAGTGGGAAAGGCTGCAACATGTCTCAGGGCTTACATTGTATTATTTCCTGGATCTACAGAGATTTCTGGACAACAGCTGGCAAACTCCACTGAAGCTGGAGCTGCCTCTACAGCAGGTGCCACTCCAAGGCTTTCACTTAGCCTAAGTCAGATATAGGACATTGATCTGGGTTTGTCCATGGTCAGATGGAGAATGTGGGGGAAAAGATGGGGAAGGACGGGGGATTTTAATTAGTACAGAGGTGAAGGAGAAATCATTGAAGAGAAAAGGCCAAGGGCTCCCCTGTTTTGGAGATCTCTAAAGGCAGACCAGGGATCTCTAAAGGCAGACAGTAATGTGCAGAAAAGAGAAACCACAGTAAGGTAGCTACAGGTGTGGTACACTGAGGTCTCAGTGCATCCCCCAGGCAATGGACAGAGGCCACTTAGAAGCTGAAAGAGGGGAGAGGGTGGAGCTAGAGCCATGGGGGTTGGGATTTGTTCACAGTAATTTTTCTGCTCTGAGTCCATGGTGGATCCTTCAAAAACCCTGAAAGTTTAGGTGGACCAGCTAACCTCCCATGAAACCCAGAGTCAAGGAGATAGAAGCTCATCTGTTCAACAGAAGCCTTAGAGGTAGTGTTCAGGGTGAAAGAAATGGCTGTTTGTCTGTTTTCCATCCTTTGGAAAATTAGAAGTGGTGTGGTATAAGCTGCCACAGGAACTCCTCCACAGATCTTGGGAGACCTCAAATGTGGGAATATGTGAAACAATATCCTTTTCTTTTTTTTCTTTTTTCTTTTTTGAGGCGGAGTCTCGCTCTGTCACCCAGGCTGGAGTGTAGTGGCACGATCTCGACTCACTGCAAGCTCCGCCTCCCGGGTTCACGCCATTCTCCTGCCTCAGCCTCCCGAGTAGCTGGGACTACAGGCACCCACCACCACGCCCGGCTAATTTCTTTTTGTATATTTAGTAGAGATGGGGTTTCACTGTGTTAGCGAGAATGGTCTCAATCTCCTGACCTCGTGATCTGCCCGCCTCGGCCTCCCAAAGTGCTGGCATTACAGGCATGAGCCACCGTGCCCGGCCAACAATATCCTTGTACTCGGAGATTCCTCAGGACTTTTTGGACATTGCAATAGCAATTGAAAGGAATGTAGGGTCATAGGGTGTTGTTTTAGGTTTGGGAGCTCTGGGTTCAGGGAAAGAAAGGGAATCTAGTATTCGAGGGCTGCTGACCTTGGTTCTCCAGGACAAATTTGGAGTTGTTTTTCTTCCTCTCTTGCTGGCTCAGAGGAATTCCAGGCTTCTCAAAGTTTGAAGACAGAGATCCCATGACCTGGGACACAGCTGGGACTTGCGATCTCTGTCCTCGCTGAAAGTGATCAGCCCAGGAATCTTGGACGCTGTCTGCACCAGCTGACTGGGCAGCTGACTGGGTTAAAGATTTCTGATCCATTAATTGTGACAGTGTTGGAGTTACAGATGCCAATGAAAGCTCTTTGGATTTCTGGGAACCCGGATCCTGACTATGCTCAAAAGACACATTAGACGTAGACAAAGCCTCTAGGCCAGAGGAGCCCTGTGATGGCCCCTGTGAAGTCAGGGAGATCTGGTTGTTCTCACCCGCCAGCAATTGCTGAATCTCCAGAGCCATAACATTGCAAATTTGGCAGCAGGGATCTGCACACAGAATTCGCCGCACACTTCCTTCCTGAGGAAGCCAGCCCTGGCTGGGAAGAGAAACATGACAAACATTAATGATGGAGTGACCTCTGCCTTCTCGGAAAAGTGTGGGCCGGGATTGGCATTGTCCTTTCCCAGTCCTGAAAATCCTGGGGCCTACACTCTCTTGTTGTCTACCTCTCTGCTTTTCTTTCTAAGAAAATGCCATTTGGAGGCCGGACACAGTGGCTCACGCCTGTAATCCTAGCACTTTGGGAGGCTGAGGCAGGTGGATCACCTGAGGTCAGGAGTTCAAGATCAGCCTGGTCAGCATGGTGAAACCCCATCTCTACTAAAAATACAAAAATTAGCCAGTCATGGTGGCGCTACTACTACTAGTTGCAGGTGGCTCCCTGCTACTCGGGAGGCGGAGGTAGGAGAATCGCTTGAACCCAGGAGACAGAGCTTGCAGTGAGTTGAGATTGTGCCATTGTACTCCAGCCTGGGCAACAAGAGTGAAACTCTGTCTCAGAAAAAAGAAAAAAGAAAATAAAAAGAAAAAGCCATTTGGCAAGGTGGGCTGGGCTGACAGTCTGGAGCTTGTTGGGCAAGGCTTCAGACAACCATGGAATGGCATGGCCCTCAGAGAGGGCTGGGAGCTGCGGTCAGTTCTCTGTTGACCGTGTTGAAAAGCTGAACTGGGAGAATGGAGCCAAGTGGTTAGCTGATGGGGCATCACCAGTTAGAACATGGATCAGTCTCATTTGAGGCTAAGAAACCCAAAGCCTGGTATTTGGGCTTGAAGTTCATGTAGAACCTCTGCATTCTGAGGGCTATTTGGTATCCCTGCTGATATACCCAACATCTTTTGGGACTCAATCCTGTTCTCTAGAAATCTTAAGAAATGGTTAAGATGACAGGCTGCCATCTGAGGGCTATCTCCCTACTGACAGAGCCAGTGGAGGTAATGTCAGCAGAGTCCAGTTAGACTCAGAGGAGAGAGAATAAAGAATAAGACAGGGATGACTTCTTTATGCAAAATCCATTCCTCTTGACTGAATAGCTTGTCTCGTGGCTGAATGCAACCCCGTGTAGAGTCTTTTATGAATTATACACTAGTACCAGCCTGAATTCTAGAACTACTGTGACCCTAGCCCAAAGCAGAATTGGGTGACCTTCCCTCCTGAGCTGTCTGGCCCAGCCCCCGTGACCTGGCAACTCTATCAACTAGCGAACCAGCCTCCACTGTGTATGTCTCCTTCCCATCCATTATCCGTCTTCTCATCTCTACCCCAAGCCAAGCTGAGAAATGATCACAAACCAGACTAGCAGCTGGGAGACTGCAAAGAACAAGAGATTACCTTTTCATGAGAAAGAGCAGCTTCCCCAACTTCTTGGCTTCTTCCTGGGAAGTTCTCCTAGCTGAGGAAACAGAAGATAGTGTTATGTGGAACTGGAGAGGATTCAGGAACATCCTATAAGAAGTTGAAGGCCTTTTAATGAGAGGATACTGAAAACCCCAAGAGTCAGAACACTAAGTCACATCTGTGTACAACTTAACCATTTACAATGTGTTGTTCTGTACCTCATCTCATTTGTTCTTCACCATCACACTGGGAGTGAGGAAGGATCATCACATGCCCATTTTATGGAGAACAAGACTGAGAGTTGAAGTGAGTTCCACAGGTTTGTAAAACTAGTAAATGACAGAGTTGAGGACTTATGCCCTACTTCTTCATTCTTTATTCTCAGGAGGATAAGATAGAGAATTTTTTAATGTCCCTAGGCTCTGATTTTCCACCCAAGGAAGTCTTCCATGAGAAATTGTCCCTGAGGGGGTACTAGAGTCTGCAGTGGTTAGAGCACCTGGCTCTTAGCACCAGGGGTCATACAGGGTCAGGATCCATGGGAACCTCACCCACAGTAGAAGCGAATCAGAGGAGAGACTGGGACTTTACCTCTTGATGTTCTATTTCCAGACTTTTGTTGGACTCTTCGGTGACACTTAAAGACAAAAACATTAGAATGTAAAGCTGCTACACCACTTTTTCCCATATCTAACATGAAACAAAACTCATAAACGTTTCCCAGTCTTTTTCTGTGTTCCAATTTTATATACTCTTCTTTCCTTTCTGTATTCTTTTTCACCCCAAGAGTTTCCTTGTTTGCTTATTTCTGACTCCCTTTCAGGCTCTTCCATACTCCATGCCTCCCGCCCTCATTCCTTTCATAAGTTCTGTGGGGACTTTAGGATGAGATGGGAGGAAAAGTGGAACAGATTAAAGGATGGGTGGGTCTAGAAGCCAAAGGAGTTCAGCCGTCAAATGGCCCTAAATAGCCGCCAACCAGAATAATCACCCGAATTGGGAGCTCTTCTGGTGTCCAGTGAGGAAATCCCCTTAAAAAAGCAAGGGCTAACAGGAACAAGAGAAAGCTTGGGGATAAAATCTTGTTTGAGGCACATCAATTTAGCCATGGTCATAGTGTTTCCCTACCCGGCAACAGCTCCTGTTAGGTCCCAACCTTAATTTTTGGCGGCTCTTTTTCACTTGCCAAATAATTAATGCAATAATGCAGATGGATCCATAGGTGTATAAGGGATATCCAACATCCCACAAAACAAAGGTAGGGCTCAACATGATCTAAACCTCACTAGCCATCCTTCTCCCTAGTCTTTCACTGTCTTGGAACCTAATACCTCCAGATTCTACACCTCATCATTTCTGCCTCACAGAAGAGGGATCCAAACCATCAGACCGCATCACAAAGCCCTCCTGTTCCACAAGGCAGGGATAGCATCACAGACCTTTATCTGTTTTTAGAGAGGCTTACTGTGGTGATTCAATGTTCAGATGAGGGTGTCTGGTGCTCTGTATGGGCTATAGAGCCTGGGGCAAAAGATACCAAGGTCATGGGCAGCATGTACCTTTTCATGTTCACTCTACTCTCTATACCCTTATGGCTCAGCTCTCTCCTTTACTACAACGGCCTGACACCTATCCCTATAAAACCGAGTCTATACACACTACATGCCCTATAAGAGAGACAGTGGATAGATCAGAGGAACTCCATGAACTACATCGTCTGTACTGGCAAGATAACAACAACAACAACAACAAATACAGAGGATAGGGCAGGCATCATATTGTTAAATCTTGGAAACCAATTTTTAATGTCACCAGCAATGATATATGGTCAGTACAGAGAGGTCCGGAAAGAGGGCAGTGTATGACGTGTCAAGGAAAGGACAAAGCTGTTGTTCTTTTAAATAACTTTCTGAGAGTTAAAGAAGGACTCCTCCAAATCTGTGTGGTCCAGCCTGAGATGGGTGAGCAGAGATTGTAAGCACTACCTTTCAAGGAGGCAAACGAATGATGCTCACTTCTGGAGCTCTGTACAAGGCTTGATTTTCCAGAATTGCCTCTACAGATTTCATAGCATCTAGCCTATTCATGGAGGTGAGTTATTGGCAAAACTTTCGATTAAGGTCAACAAACTTGTGGCTCTTTGGTTGAATCCACTATGGTCGGAATGTTTGCCTGAAAGAGTGTTTTATGAAAATCTGAATTTGAATAACTTTAGGCAGAGCAGGATTTTCCCTCATTCAACCCTAGAATCTACCTCTCCTATGCCCACTGATTCTCACATTAATGTTAACTTCATGACCCCGATCGATATTATGGCATGTCCCGAACACCCTAGGATTTCTGAGTTTCCTTGAGAAGTTCTTGCCCTGATAAGAGTGGCTGGTCTTAGGCTCAAAATCTCTGAAAAGGGGCTGGGTACGGTGGCTCATGCCTGTAATCCCAGCACTTTGGGAAGCTGAGGCAGGTGGATAACCTGAGGTCAGGAGTTCAAGACCAGCCTGGCCAACATGGTGAAACCCTGTCTCTACTAAAAATACAAAAGATTAGCCAGGCGTAGTGGTGGGCGCGTGTAATCCCAGCTACTCAGCAGGCTGAAGCAGGAGAATCACTTGAACCCAGAAGGCACAAATTGCAGTGAGCCGAGATCACACCACTGCACTCCAACCTGGGTGACAGAATGAGACTCTGCCTCAAAAACAAACAAACAAAATCTCTGAAAAAGGTGTTTGATCCTTCCTCCAGCATTCGTTCCTCTACCAGACAGGAATAGTGAGCACTCAGTACGTGCTTAACCCTAAGTTGGGCAGTGTCAAGAGTACAAAGACACTTGGGTTGTGTTACATACCTGCTTTCAAGATTCTTAAATATCTAGTTTCAAAGACAAGGCATTCACAAGAAGCAAAAGCCAACCTTTTGCTGGGGAAGGGGCTGGAGAAGGGGGAAATCAAGTGTTATTGTTTAATGGGTACAGAAGTTTCTGTTTGGGGTGATGAATACAACCATCTTATTCATAAGCGAATGCCCTTAATGGCACTGAATTGTACACTTAAAAATAACTAAAATGGTAAATTTTATGTTAAGCATATCTTACCATAACTTAAAAACAACCAAAAAATTCATTAGCACAAGGGTTTCGTTTTGAACTAGCTATAAGGAAAAATATTCTGAAAATGATTTGACAAACAAATGGATTAGTGAACATTTTTCTCTTTTTTTTTTTAATTTCCACAGGTTATTAGGGAACAGGTGGTGTTTGGTTACATGAGTAAGTTCTTTAGTGATTTGTGAGATTTTGGTGCACCCATCACCTCAGCAGTGTACACTGTACCCTATTTGTAGTCTTTTATCCCTCACCCTCTCCCACTCCTCCTCCCAAGTCCCCAAAGTTCATTGTATCATTCTTATGCCTTTGCGTCCTCATAGCTCCAACATATCAGTGAGAATATATGATGTTTAGTTTTCCATTTCTGAGTTACCTCACTTAAAATAATAGTCTCTAATCTCATCCAGGTCACTGTAAATGCCATTAATTCATTCCTTTTTATGGCTGAGTAGTATTCCGTCTCATATATATATACACCACAGTTTCTTTATCCACTCCTTGACTGATAGGCATTTGGGTTGGTTCCACGTTTTTGCAATTGCAAATTGTGCTGCTATAAACATGCGTGTGCAAGTATCTTTTTCGAATGACTTATTTTCCTCTGAGTAGATACCCAGTGGTGGGATTGCTGGATCAAACGGTAGTTCTACTTTTAGTTCTTTAAGGAATATTCACACTGTTTTCCATAGTGGCTGTCCTAGTTTGCACTCCCACCAGCAGTGCAAAAGTGTTCCCTGATTACCACTTCCATGCCGACATCTACTGTTTTTTGATTTTTTGATTATGGCCATTCTGGCAGGAGTAAGGCGGTATCACATTGCAGTTTTGATTTGCATTACTGAACATTTTTCTTAAATGTCCTTCTTATACCTACAAAAGGAAAATAGATCTTCATATTAAGGATAATTTAAGAAGAGCCCTGCCTGAAAATTGGACAAATTTGAGCTATTTCAACATCTGCCCTGAACTTGCAAATTCCATAATGCAGGAATGAGAAGACTTTTTCAACCAAAGAGCACTGAATGAAAGGTTAACAAAAATCAATTAAAAGGCAGTTTGAGTCAGCTTTTTAGTAGCAGGTTATCAACATACCTGCAAAGTAGCCTGGATCCTTCATTACTTTTATTACTCCTACTTAACCAGCTGCTGCCACCCTCTATGCGGCTGTAACAGTTTTATCACCCATTAGCCTGACCTCTTGCCCCCGGCAGAATCACCACATTCTGCAAATCCTGCACCTGCTCCTGCCGGTGCACTACTTACCTCACAGATAACCCGCAGCCTCTGCCCTCTGACCAAGACATTAAAACCGTCTACTGAACACTCCACTCCAGCAATTCTCCTGGCCCTTGCTCCTCTGTCTCAGAGCTGAGGAATTAGAGCCAAGGGCTGAGCCAAAAATGGTCTCATGCCTTTTTGCAGATTAGGCCTTTAGCATAGGTTTTTTTACTGGTTTGGGGCTCATCGACAAGGGTGCTTGTGCGGACAGGACAGTGGGATCAGTGTCTTCCTAAACAAGGGCACATTCATGTAATGAACACAGCTAAGCCTGGCATTTCTCACGATGTGGGCATGGATCATCACATTTGCCCTTCCTGCCTAGTGGTTGAGAGCGAATAGCAAACAAGGGAGATGAAGTACATGAAAAGCCTCTGTGGATGCTGGAGGGCTGTACAACTATCAAGGATTCTTCTTCATTTGTTTCTAGAAAACTTGCTTTAAGCCAGACCCTGCTTTCATTATAATGCTACAGAGCCACAATGATTGCAATAGAATTTCTTCAAGGAACTGTTCATGGCTACCAGTTCATACGTACCATGGGTCCTATCGCCTTGTAAAGAAAAATGTGACTGACATGCCACTGATGTGAGACTAGTCCCTCCACACAAACCTTACGAAAGAGCTTCGCTGTGTCTTATACTCAGAAAATACTAGTGAACATCTCAAATAAACCAAGGTGCCGGGGACAGAGATGCATAGTTGCTGCGACTCAGCGGCAACGCTTTTATAGATGAGTACCTTTGTTAATGCCCAAGAGCTAGAATTTCCAGGGAGTTGGGCAGGAAGCCTCAGAGCGGTGTCAGGCAGCAGAACCACCAGCGCTCGCACAGCGGATTACTACCCAATGCGGAAGTGTGGGGAGTAACGGTAGATGGCAGCCAGAGACACTAGAGGGCAGCACATGCCCACCCAATACGCCTAGTCCTGTGACATCTCTACCCTGACAGGAACTTTCAAAGGTTTTCTTCTCCAGCCGGCTCTCAATCCCAGCCTTACATCAGAATCATTCGGGAGCTTGTTAAAAATATAGATTTCCTGGTTTCACTCCAGACTAATGAATCGGAATCTCTATGTGCAGGGTCCAGCAACCTGTATATTAAATAAGTATCAAAAATAACCCTTAAGCAAGAAGGCACTGAGCTATGGATTTGTATGTGAGATTCTGAAGAAACTATGTCCCTCCCCTCACACTCAAAATTTGATTGAATTTCAGAGGCATTGACTCCACTTATGGACACCATGGGGAACTCAAGGAGCCTGGTTAAGAAATTTGAATACAATTTATGCCAAGCAAAACACCATCACTCAGAGGTGGGAGCCTCAGCAAGGCCAGGGTCCTTCATGTTTTAAAAAGTCATAGGAACTTTGGGAAAAAAGAGAGCAGACCAATGACCAACACTGAGAATGAGAGAGGTGACTCACCAAAATTCCAAAGATATTTAAAGGACAATCAATTAATGTGAAGGCCAAGCACAGTGGCTCATGCCTGTAATCCCAGCACTTTGGGAGGCTAAGGTGGGTGGATCACTTGAGTTCAAGAGTTTGAGACCAGCCTGGGCAACATGGCAAAACTCCATCTCTACAAAAACTACAAAAATTGGCTGGGCATGGTGATGTGCACCTGTAGTCTCAGCTACTTAGGAGGCTGAGGTGGGAGGATCACTTTTTGCCTGAGAGGTGGAGGTTGCAGCGAGCTGAGATCTCACCACTGCACTTCAGTCTAGGTGACAGAGTAAGACCCTGTCTCAATAACGATAATAATGTGAAAATTTTAATGTCTATAAATTGACAACAAAAAAATTGACAACTTTAATGTCTATAAATTGACAACTGCTATGGTTTGAATGTGTTCCTTCCAAACTTTATGTGTTGGGAGCTTAATCTCCAGTGTAACAGTGTTGGGACGTGGGGACTTTTGGGAGGTGTTTTAGGTCATGAGAACAG